GGATGCGAGACTGCCTTTCCGTTCGAAAAGACCAGTCTGCGCTTTACCATGGTCGTACTGTATTGCTCCAGAGTGTATACCTGTTGGTTGGTTCACCACAACATGCCCTAGTCGAACCGGCCCATATTCTGTTTTCACCGGCATACCCCCGCCGCTGCCCACCAACAGGACATACTGAAGGCAAGGGAAGGTCATGCGCATCTGGGTGACAACAGTGGCTGCAGAGCAGTTCCCTGGTTTGGGGAGGCCAGCAATAACTACATTATGATTGTTGATGATACCAAGGTTGTAGATGTTTGTGTCTCCGCTTAGTTGAGGCAGTGGTTGGTGCTCTTCATCGAGAATCTCCATGGCTGCGATCAGCTCCACTTCTAACGGACAAATTCAACCCACTCGATAGGCATTGTGGCTCAACCTTCTCTGCGGCATTTTCGGTCATCCGTCTCGAACGGAGGAAATCTGACAAAGGAAGGTTCAGAACTCAGCAGTCAAATTACGCGAAGGCCAGAAGAGAGGGAAAGCCTATAGCGTTGGGCATGAGGCTCAGACTCATCTCGCTCAGCCCGGGCTGAGGGGAACCCCCTCCCGAGGCCTACTTTTTAGCTGGTTTTCGGGTGAGATTAGCCAGTGAGATAGCTGGGGGAGTGAACGGACATGGGATTCTATGACTATCATTGCGTTTCATTGGCGAACGACGCGTGGTGACGCTTCAGTAGACCCACTCGCTACAAAGCATTCAGCCTTGCGCGTCATGGGGGAGTAAGTCAAGGTACCAGCTGCTGGAGGTAAGGATTTAGTGCGAAGGGGTCAGAATAAGCTCAGCGGCTTAGGGATTTCGAGCTTTATCCCCTAATTCACATTACAAGAATCCATAGGAGATTGATATGAAGTCATACAAAAATATATAAATACTATAAAGTATCTGAAATAGGACCCGCAGGCAGAACTAGTCTAGATACTCAGGTTTATGATTCCGTCAGTGACTTGCTTCCGACTTTTGAATCCCAGGTAAATCTGCCAAGTCAGCATAGCAATTGGAATCAACCTTTAGAAGTATACTCTATTCAAATCCCGATCGAAAATGCATGTTTAGCAGAATTGATAAGTGTAGAGCAAGCCCCACTCGGATCCATGACTGAGCCCTAAATAGTTATCCGTCTGCCATTCATATATATAGCTACTTAGTCTTTCTATTTGTTCACCAAGATGATTATGGCCTATCCTAAGAAAATAATAACTGACAAGAGATTGTCCGGATGTAGTACTTATATATTCAAGGATATTTTATACAGAGTTGGTCGGGTTCCCCGCAAAACCCGCCCATAACCCGCTCTGGATTTCGGGTTTAAAGGGGAACATCTGTCTTAGCCCTGGGAATCCAAAGGGTTGGGTTACTAGATTGGGCTTCTAGATCAGGTCAAGTTGTTGCATGACGGTCCACAGAGCATGTATGTCCGTTTATGTCAAAATACAAATCCTACATTTGTTTACATGTTACATTGGGGATAGCGTGTCGTTTCCTCTTTATACGATACCTGAATGATGAATTCAATAACATGACCATTGTTTCTAAACAGGTGTGAGCCCCCAAGCCCTGCATTTTCGCTTTTTTTTTTTTTTATATTTTGAAGCTTGAGGTTAACGGAGCACGTTGTCGACAACCAGACACGACTCCAATTATGTTACATCCTAAATGTAGAGGCTTTGGCATTAAGACTATTAGACTTGGCTCTTGTGCTGGTGGTATATACTCGAAAATTTCCTGCTTTTACTCTGAAGGATCATTATGGTGGAGTTGTCCACACCCAGCCTAAATGTAAATAGAATGTTTAGATTATGTATCCAAGGTGTGCAAACTCGATACCCTTACCCCTTGGACGCGCATTGGCCGAAGTCTCTTCCATCTCCTCCTGACTATCCGGCTGCATCAACCCTATCTCATTTAGCTCATCGTCGATTTGTCGTGACTCCTAGGCGCCACCCAGAAAGCCGGAGCAACGGCAACCATCGTCGCCACCAGTCCCGTATACATGTACATCATCTTTGGATTAACAGCAATTGGCCACGTGGCCATTCCCAAGGTAGATCCAGTCCCAGCTGTGACCTGTCGCAGGGCCTGCACCAGGCTGCGCATATCCTTGAGCGCTTTCGAGTAGCTGTACTCAGATAGAGTGGCCAATCCTAGAATCTCGGCAAACGCAAGCAAGAAGTACACACAGGGGTTTGCACCCAGATGCTGATATTGTTGGGGACTCTTCCACCGTCGGAGTCAGGACAAGTCAGCGGAAATTCATAGCACGGACCCCGGGGTGTAGACCGGCTTTTGTAACCCTGCAGCAAATGCCATCTCCGAGCTTATCGTGACGAAGAACCAGTTCATACGGGTAATCGGCCCGAATGGGACTCCCTGTTTTTGAAGGCAGGGGTAAAGAAGTTTTTTTTGGATGATCGGGCCGAGTAGAATACAGGCGATGGGATTGAGCGCTTGAATGGCAGTCGTTGGGGATGCCGCCCAGCTGCATCTGACCCACTTGGGACACAAGGTTATTGGTGATTTGATTGATGCACAGGTAGAATGGTACAAAACAAGCCCTGGCTTCAATATCATTGAGTCAAACAGATCGACCGACTTGTACGGCGACAAACATGACTTTGCAGGCTATGAGGCCCCTTTGCATCACCAAGATAAATAGATTATCCCACGGAACAGTTCCACCATATTTCTCAGCTTGGAATGTGGGTTTTGCTGCATCGAGTCGGAATCGTTCTCGGGCGGAGGACGCAAGGACTTTTCCCGCATGCTGAAGAACATTTCCCTGTGGCGCGAGTTTGACCTTCTAAACTTAGACACTTCCAATCTTGTAGTAACAGTAAGGCGGAACATAACGGCAGGAAGTTGGTAGCCCAGAAGCCAACTTCTTTCTCCAAATAAGTCGAAGCAATCGGAGAGAGACTTCCAATGTTGGTGAACCTAGATGGACAGTCCTGCAGCGGGTTGTTGTTTACCAGTAGAAAACATTGCATATTTATGGGAGGGTCAACGTGCGATCGGCAATGACTCTCTCAGCCTTCTTCGTGGCGACCAACTGTGGAATCAGAGTGGTATATTGATCACCTATAAAGGGAGAGACGGTGGTTTTCACACCTCTGGCTCCTAGATTCAGCAAGACCATGGCAAGAGCCATTCTGAAAGTTTTGATGGAATCCTGTGATACCACTAGAAGTGAGGTAATAAAGAGCACTATACATCCACATAGATTCAGGCTGTCGATACTCAGCTTCAACCGGCAAGTGGGAGGGACATGATACCCACATGTAAGAAATGCATAATGTTTTGTATCGCCCTCGCCATGGGTCCGAAACAACAGCGAAGGGCAGAGGGGCCAAGAATAAGAAGAAAAACAAGGCATTGGGGATATTGGTGGCAGTTGCTTGACCAAGACCCAGAACTCCCGGAACGGCAATACTATCACGGTCATTTTGCATGTAGTTCTCTACAGGCTGTTAGGACCTTTTGATTCTATGTCAGATAGGGTAGGGACATATGCCATGCAGCGGAGACGGCATAGAAGGTGAATCTTTTTGATGCACCGGCTACAAGAGCTATCCAAACAATGAATGGGACTGAATCCACCATGTGGGGTAGCGGCTTGATTCCATCCTCGGTTGCATCCCGTATCTCATATTGTGCTGTCTAGATATCCATATCGTTTAACATGGGAGTAAGTGCAACAGTCCAATGTTGTGGTTTTTTGGGCGAAACCCACAGTTCTTGCTATTCTCCCAACGGCGCAAGGCTACGATGGAACTTTGTAAAGAGGGATGAGAGGACTGGATGACCAAGACGTAGTATCAGTCGAATGTTAGCCCTAAGCTAAACTCCCTGGGTGCCTATAAGCTTACATGTTAAGCACTTTAAAGACAAAGAAGCTGTTTCCATTGTGAAACGCAACCCCGTAGAATACACCTATGAGATCTTGCCATTTGCCCACTGCATCTACTGAATGCACAATCCTATGCCTGAAGAGCCAAGGCTGATGCTAGTGGCTCATGGGTCTATTCAAGGGCTTTGATTATCTTGCTGAGAAGATTTAAGTTGGCTAAGCTCTAAGCCGGCAGCCCCAAGCCTTCATTCTATGGACTGCCTACAACATAACCCCTGTTAGTGGTGTAATAAGGCATAAGACAGCGCGATAAGGCGCTATAGAGCTAAGGGAGAAAGTGCTGATATTAACTGAATCCGGTAGGGCTGGGGGAAATAGAGAGCGGGGTCATGCAGCATTCCATATGGCCTGCGCGTCCTTGTCAGGCGGTTCAATCTGCAATAGGAGAACAACTAGTATTTATCCGATGGCTTTTGCCAATAATAGCAATTGCGAGGGAAAAAATACGACCTCAAACTCTTCTGTTGAAGTTCTTTCTAATGTACTATTCCTGAATTGCGGACACTTTAGAGTGGTTCCCCGATAATATGTTTGGATGGACACACGACTACTTCCGAGTTAGGGCTAGGGGTTGATCTTGGCTTCCACTATCCTGTCTTCCGCAGACCATTCGTTCGGCGAGCAGCTGGAGTCTGAATCCTCCATATAAAACGTGCACAGATGTCTCTTGGCGGGAGTTGAACTGTCGAAGCCAAGCATTTGACAAGGGAGGGTCGTCGTTGTATGCTTATGTACTCAGAGTCCACTCGGTTGGTTAATGCTGTGGAGGAGCTGCTTATCAGTCAGGTTGTATTCCACACGTACAGTAATACCGTCTTGTGCGTATCATGTTGACAAAGGTACGGCGTCTATGTTTTCTTTGTTTAATAGAGCCCCTGGATGCCTTCCCAATGGCCCCCTATTCCATTTGGAATTTTATAACTTGACCTAATATTCACAACATATACTAGGTTAATAAAGTACTTATAGCCATTACCAGCTAGTAGCTTAGTAAGGCTATCTACAGGGTTATACTTTCTACTTATAGTGTTAATTATGATTATACCCTTCTTATAGAAGTCACACACCTATAGATATTATATATTAATCTACACATAACGCTGAGATGGCTGTTTTTGGCTGTCTTTGATGATATTTTTAAGTGTTATGCTTACTAAGATGGCCTTGGCCTGACGTATGTGTTCTGTACCACCATGGGTAGTAGACAACATTTTGGTACGGCTGTTTGCTTGGATACTCTTCGAAGACGACAATAGAAACCTTCTTCACTTTAGAGCGTTATTGCTTGGGCTTTTCCCGCCTCTGCAGGCTTTAGTTGACTGTGGCCCATGAACGTCAGCGGAAATGCAAAGAAATAGTATGATCCTTGGGCTAGCGGAATGGCATAGACACACTCAATCTTCGGAAACTTCTCTGATTTGAGGATGTCGACAAGTAAGTCTCCAATGTGCTTATGTTTACAGCGAATGATATCATCAGATCCATATGGAATCCTCTATACGGAGGGTTTCTTTGGCTCAACGCAACTATCGTTTCTTAAGCTTCGTATACCAGTCCATGTGAATGGCGTCTGGGCTTCTCACAGGAAGTCGCTTGGTCAATTATGACTAGGGAAGTTTGTCTTCGATTCTGAGCTTCGGAGTTCACAGCTCTGGATAGAATCTCTCCTCTTCTGGGCTGTGACATCTAAGAGCCTCACCATCCCCAGAATGGCTGCAGCGCATTCGGGGCCTTGAGCCGGCGTCCGGCAACACACGACCCGGCCCCGCACCTATAAATAAATACGTTGTCAGACGTCGGCTCCCCAGTGTGCAAACACTCTCTAGCAAATGACTGTTGTAGGCCCACTTATAAATCTGTCTAGCGGCAATATATTTTGTTACCATCACGTGGACACGCTGCTCAGGTGACTTGATTGGAATCCATTATAACTGTGCTTCACGTGATCATTGGGTGTTTTGTTCAGTTGGGGCCTCGTTTCCACCCGTCCCTTTTAGCTCCTTAGTGGATTCTCACAGCTTGAGCCTTGCAGCAATCAGAGCTCTACTGTTACTATGTGGAGGCAGCTATCCGCTCGATACTCCTTTCGATTGATATCCGGTCATTCGCTTTCAAAGTTTCCGTCTGGCAAAGTTCCAGCTATTATTCGTCATCTCAGTTCGAATGCAGCATTCGTGTATCCAAACCGAACCACTCAAACAATGTCGGTGAAATCTTCTGACCTGAACCGCATGGGTATGCCATCTCATTTAACATGTCTCCATATAGCTGCTAGATTATCAAATAGCTAATGTGACGTTCGAGGTTAATGCAGAGAAATCGGATGATCTCTTTCAATATACGTCAGGACGATGGCTCGTTGACGAAAAGGCCCAAAAACAGCTGCGTTATGTCAAATTTAATCTTGATAATCTTTGTCGCCTAGCTGCAGCACAATTTGGTGATGCAACAAAGTGTGTTCGCGTTGTCAAGCTGGAAGGAAGCTTCAACAAAGCATTACTTCTCACCATGGACGACGGCAACGAGGTCATAGCAAAGATTCCTTGTCCAAATGCCGGCCCGCCGTCGTTGACCACGGCTTCTGAAGTTGCCACTCTCAAGTTTCGTATGTGTTATGCGTTTACACTCACAACTTCCTTTAGCGTGTAGCTTATGCTTTCCTTTCATAGTACGGTCAAAGACGTCCATTCGAGTTCCGGAAGTTCTTGCCTGGAGCTCTGATGCTGCCAATGCGGTCGGTGCGGAGTTTATAATAATGGAAAAAATTAAAGGGATTGCCTTGTCCGAGATATGGGAGGCAATGAACACTTTGGAGCGCTACAAAATAATTGATCAAATTGTCCAGATTGAGAAGGAACTTGCGCATATATCATTTCCAGCATACGGCAGTCTCTTTCTTCGCGAATCGTTACCTGCTACGTACCGACAATATCCACTTCCTCCAAATCTAGACCCAGAGGGCCTATTTTGCATCGGACCATCCTGTAAACGTACATGGTGGCACGGCAATTTCATCGACATAAACCAACCGATATCAGAAGATATGGGCCCATGTGAGTACTCCAGCATTTATGCTATGTAACTGATATTTGACGAGCGGTACTAATCCGACCTAGGGGTGCGTTTTTCGGAATATGCGTCATCAATTGTACAACGAGAGTTTGCTCATATTGCGAAAGCAAGGGATGAGGTACAACGTCAACTACACAATTTTGACGAGTCGCAGTCAATCGTTGAATACGAAAATCTGCTGGAGAAAGTGAACATGATACTCCCGGTTTTGTCGCATGACACACGCGTGACAGATGTCTCAAACTCTGTTATTTGGCATACTGACTTACACCTGGGAAATATCTTTGTTTCATTGAATGAACCCAGTATTGTTGAAGGAATCATCGATTGGCAATCGTCTCAACTATGTCCGTTGTTCATACAAGCTCAATTCCCGGAGTTTATTACGCCACCCAAGGGTTATAATCCTGGCACCGACTTACCCAGCTTACCGGATGGTTTTGATGACCTAAGTTCCGAGCAAAAGGAACAAGCTACCATTGAGAATGAGTTAGCTTCGAGGTCAAAATATTACGAAATGTCTAGCCTTGCACATAATAAACACGTGTATAATGCTATGAAACTTGATCGCCGATTGTGGGAACCTTTCACTTACTGCCAGCTCTTCTCTCATGGTAGCTTGGTCCCTCTACGCCATTGTTTGATTCGTTTGTACCAGGACTGGTCTTTGCTGGGGCTCCCGGGCAGTTGCCCCTTCTTGATATCAGAACATGAACTTCAGAGACATGAGAAACAAAAATTGCAATATGAGGACAGGCTTTATCTCTGGGATCTTGTGAAGAATCAGCTTTCCACCGATAATGCCGGCTGGGTTCCAAATAGTCGATGGGAAGCGACAGAGAAGGCAAACAAGGAGCTGTACAATATGTACATTGAAACAATGAGCGAAGAGCTTACGCCCCAAGCAGCCGCCAAGAATTGGCCTTTTCCACCACAACAGGCCTAATATTAAGATCAGAGATTTTTTTTTGCCTGTGCAATCAACTCCGCCATGACTCGCTTGCCTTCTTCTGGTCGCTCTTCGTCTTTAGCCTTTCGATTGATTTGTGCCGCTGCAAGATTTCCATGAGGATTCTTCTTCAGCCAGTCCTGGAGGCCATCGCTCTGTGCCTGGCTATTGACCTGGAGGTAAACGTTGTAGTAACCTGGCTTGTCTTTTATTTCTTCGCCCACGTCAACACGACACTGATATTCTGCATCATTCTTAGGCGTTCGTGATGGGAGAAGTCGAGTGCCCGGGGCTGCTTCCTTGAAAAGCTTCGCCACTTGTTTTGGGTCATTGACGACTTTGTCGCCAAACTTTTTGAGAGCCCCGGACATAGTCGCAGTGGTATTCAGAGGCCTAAGTCAATAGTAAATTGTGAGCAGAATATCATCGGTCAACAGCATGTGCATGGTCCCTACCTTTTCAGATGAATCGTTTGTCTGGTGGTTGGAAATTGGAAGTCAAATATTCCAGTGGAATATAAGGAGGGGGAAAGAAAGAGATGGGTTTCTCTAGGCGGCTTTCTCGACTTTAAATCACGCTGGACTGGAATTACCCATTGTTTCTTAATGGATCTTAGCGCCGCCCGTACTGCTCAAGATTCCAACGTTTCAATTTTGTTACAGGGCGCGTGATGAACACTAGGGGTTGATTGGCCTCAATATGAACTCCAGCATAACCATCTGACTGCAGTGGGTCCATGCTCACCAGCAGCCAGCCTTGCAAGCTTCGAAGATCCTCTGACCAACCAATTCCTCCACCTTGCCGCCAGTATGAGGCGCAGCCACGCCAATCCGAAACGCCAGGTCTCTATGCAGCTAAATGTGACTGGCCTCGCGCATGCGGGATTGAGCAGTTAGCGCAACTCCTGTATCTTTTATATGGTCATTTTGCCCCTGCTCGTACCCAAGTTATCTCTTTATTGGTAAGTCGCAGCCACCTCCACTAGTTGGCCGCTACTCTGTACAGCTGCAAGCTCCATGGCAAGCGGCTGACCCCTGCCCATGATTGGTCCCTTACACCTTTCAATTCCCTTAGTTTGTTTAGGCCGGATGATGCTAGATCAAAGGTACTTTAGGTAACATCGGACAAATAGACGATCGAGCGTGATACAGTGGAACAGTGTGAGGTCATTAGCTAGGTACGTCATCTCCCGACAAGTTTGCCAACTCGCATGGAAAGACTGCGATTTGGTACCATCGCTCAGTATCATAAACGAAAGACAAATCCAGGACCACATGGCTCACAGTAAGCTGGACGCACACAAGCTTAACCCCGTGCGCTAGCATTCGCAAAATCATGATGCTATATTCTACATTTGGATTCGTGACAACGGTGTGAAGGGCGCGTAGCTGGGCAGTGTGAGCTACGCGTACGCCCCCAGAACAAGAGTACAAATCTCAACATATGAGAAAGAAAGCTCAGGAAGCTTACGGGAATATTCGATGTCATTCCTTTCATTGTAGCCATTTCGCCAGAGTCGTGTCAATGAGGCCGTCTTGAAACAATTCGCGAGCATCTTGACTGCACGAATCAGATTAGATTCAAGAGTAAAGTCCCTAGGATATCTAGATTGTTTTCCTTTTTCTTTCATTCTTTTTCTTTTTTCTTTTCTTAAAGTAAATACTAGGTATATTTAAATATTAATTAGGAAGAAGATTTTACTTAAATTGAGTGGGCAAGTTGGGTATACCTAACCTCATCTAATGATTCTAATCTAGGTGGGTTCAGCCTTCCGTACCTGTAGGCTGTACGGACAGAGTACCTGGAAATCAGCGGCTGCGGTGGGTTCAGCTTGGCCCTAGTGGGGAACCTGCACCACTAATTTTTCGTTCAAATTATTATAATCATTAAGTTTTATAATTTCAGTAATTAGGACAAGCTAGTTTAGGCATATGATTTTTTAATAAGCTAAGACTGCTGTATAATTGAATAATAAAATTTATAAATATCTCAACTACCTAAGCCTAAATAATAATTCTGCTGTAAATTAGGCCATTTTGACACTCGACGAGTCATACCGCATCTGATTATAAACGCTGGACTGAATTAGTTTTTCTCCAGAGCCGCATCATCTGTTTCTTTCATTCATTTTGCAGTCTTGGACATCACCTCTTTCCTCTCCTCCTCTATCTGGAGCCGCACGAATGCTTCAATTCAAATCACAATCGCTCAGGTGAAGACCTATTACCAGAACAATAGTGGGAAGGAAAGACATCAATGCGACGTGAAACATGATCAATTCATCTTGCGTTCATCCAATCCCCACTTCTTCTTCATCGCATCCGCCGGTACATCGTTTGCTATGTCTTGAGCAATTTCCTCCAGAGGCAACCCTTTGATATCGTAATCCACCCCATCAAGCCTTAAAGCATCAACTTGGTGACATCTGCTGCCCTTCTTGGAGGTGGATTTGGCATTGGTATTCTTGTCCATGTTCAAGTCCTAGCTGACGAATCCTTGGTTAGCTGATTACCCAAAAATTTGGGGGGTGGGAGGTATGGCCACCTTTCTTTTCTTTTCTTTTCTTTTTTTTAGTTTGAGAATATAAGAGGATTCAGTTCTGTTCAGAACGAGGGACAGACTGAGGCAAACTTATTTATATGAGTCTCGACGCCCGTGACTTCTACTAGTATAGTCAGCTGAGTTGTTGCTTACTTCCCCTTTAGCCTATACACTTGGCTTGATTTACCGTAAATTTATATATTTCTGACTGAGCGCACCTAACATAAAGAGCAAATTAACAGAAGTTAAAGCCGTGGATAAATCCATAATTATTGCGGAGAGTCCAATAAACCACTACATCGATCTCATATCATATATATAACTTCACCTCACCTGTACTACACAAGGCATAAACTATATACAATAACCAAGTCAAACAGTAACACTTACCCAAACTCAAAAAAGTAAGAATCAAATCGTCAGTCACCGACATGTAGTCCATCAGTATTAGCTATCAACAAACGTTCACATCCCTAGCCATAACCCCTTTGTCCTGGTATAGTGACCACTTCTGCAACAACTTATGACCCGGCAAGTCCGCTACAAGGTCGTCAACAAGCTCCTCCAGTGGAAGGTGCGAGATGTTGTAGTTATAACCACCGATTGTTAACGTGTTAAATTTGTGAGGGGTTTGACACAAGGATGTGCTGTTATCCGGGACTTCACCAGCCGTCATCTTCTTTGCATGGTTGGGGCATGCACTGGAAGCACCAATGATCATTGCTGTCTCAAAGGGAACGTTGTGATAGCAGGCGTTGATTATTCCCGTGCTGGAACACCCAAGACAGTCGCCACTTGCGTCGGTCTCAAAGAAGGCCAGAACACCTGGAGGACCGGCAGATGTTGCTCTAACCCAGTCAAAGTTCGCGCGGCCTGGCGGTGCCATGCAACAATCGAATGCCGGTTTGTTTAAGCAACCGAGAGCCGAGGTACAACACAGATACTGATTCCCTCTAGGGTTGCTCCAGTACCGAGTACTAAATTGAGCTTGGATACAGACCGTTATCATTAGAATAATGACAAAGAATCGAGGGGGTTGCATGATTCCTTGGGAGATAGGTAAAGAAATTACTAGATATAGCAGCGATATGTCTGAAACCGTAGGGATATAAAGAAGCTGCCATAAGTTGTAGTATCCTGTCCTGGAAGTGAAGTCTTCTTTATATGTCAATTCAGTTGCTATTGTACTGCTATTGTAGGCACTTCCTGTTATATTTGATTACAATAAGTCAACATAGAGCAATACTCATTGGTCAATAATAACTTCACTATATACCAGCCTCCCAGTTGCAACACCTTAGGGAAATATCACAGCTTTCTCCTTCTGGTAAATCCGACTAACTGATCTTTTGATCATATATAGCTATACATTAGCTTCTAACACATCTAAGATGGGGCCATTAGGGGCTGTCTAGCCACAGGGAAGGGGGAGAAATAGTCTCATAGAGAGCCCAAAATAGACTCTCTAAATCTATACTTCTTAGATCAATCCGACCCAGACATATTATAATATTTTAAACCTGTGTTGTATCTTTGTAGCTTGAGCCCAGAATTGCCACATTTTTCTATATTAAACATCTTACTTTGTCCTTTTCTCCGGGCTTTAAATGTTCAATACCATTCTGATTCATTCCAAGACAGGAGTTAAACTGGATAACACAGATATCGAATCTAGTAAAGTTTCTGCGGCACAGCACATTGTATAACTAAGAGTCTTAGGCCTCTTTTTCTCGCCTTCATATAATGCTTCATGACCAGAATTCCAGCTAGGGTTCTTTTTGGGGGCCGGGGCAAGACTCTATTCCCCATTCACTATTTCTAACATTTGTTACATTGGGATACATGTACAGGGAAATATTCCTTCGATACATCATTGTTGGGAACCTCGCCACAGCTAGAGAAACACACGATGCAACATAACTAATATCCCTGTCGTTTATATGATGTAGTTTCAAGCCATGGTAAGACACTGTTTTCGCACTATTGGCCGCCTCGCCTACTAGCAGGCACTTCTATCCTATAGGGTATGTCCACGTTACCAACCCATAAGCATGCCATTTCATACAGCGGGTTACAACTTTTGCACACGGATATCATAATGCTTCTAATCGATGATTCAGAGATACTATGAGATAATATTTTACCTACGCACATCTCGCGAATCCTAGATTTTGTATGATGTGACGATAGCCCATCAAGGCTCAGACCGGGCTCATATCCAGAGCAACTTACTAAAATATGGAGATTGGCTATAAATTGTACAATGACAACAACCGGAAACTGGCATCTCCAGCCGCTCTTGTCAGTACTCACTTTGGTTTACATCGTTCTTCTGTTTACTTGTATCCTTCCTTCGGATTCAAGCTCCCCTCAATTCCGATATGTATCTATCTAAGCTCACAGGTATGTCAAAGAATGACAGGCGATTATGAATACAGTAATCTAAATACCAAGATCCTCATTTAGACGAATCATATATTGCTGAATTTCTGTATGGAGACGGTGTTGCTTAAGAGCAAGACAGCCGTCGGAGATATTTTAAAACACATAAACTACCGGTGAATTTTCCAAAGGGTTGCAGGTGCGACTACACTGGTAGTGATGTGATTCCAGCCTCACTCTCAAGTCATAGGTTCACCAGAATACAGTATATAACATTCAAAAAAGGCATTCAGATGACTTTAGCCTCTGGCTTGATAATCGCCCGTTTCCCTTTATATATATTTAGTTTTGATTAGTTATTTTTTACTTTATTCATTTTGAAGTCGATTTCAGGCACGAAGGTTGGATAGGTGCTTTATATACGTAGTCAAAACCTGTGCCACTGTCGTCGCGCTTAGGGGAAAACGTTTTATTAGCTATATGATATCTCTTATATTCTTGACATATGTAATGTATTCACATTAACTGACAAAAACCAAAAAACATATTCAAGGAAGGCTTGATATTATATATAAGCAAAGGCTTCCAGGACTATGCACCGCTCCCCAGCACCACTCAAATTGCTCCTTCTCAGCGTTACAGACCCTTGTCTAGCGTACCTTATCAAAGGCGGACACGTAAAGCAAAATATCATAGGATGACGATAGCCGGTCACGGGCGGCTAGCATCTAAAGGATTATTCCTTGTGGAAATATAATAATTAATATATTCTATAGGATTATTTAGCGGCCAGAAGATCCTATAACTATGTTCAGCCTAGCGCCGCTGGCTGGAACCCCTTGCCAATATATTGTGTATCCTAGTACCATGACAAACTCCCCATACGTTGTGCCTAGGTCGTATTATGGCCTCCCAGTAAGCCAATGGGTCCTTGATATGCTATTCTTCATTGCTCTGCGATTGAGAAAACATAAGTCCCTCTCCACATACCTGAAATCGCCTGAAAGCATCCACAAGGCTACCAACGCCCATGGGCTCGACTAACGTTAGCGAAAATGCGTTTGCCTTTGAAGTCCTATTGGTTACGGTTGACGACAATGGTAAGTAGACCTAGAGCTAATGATGTGCCTTAGTTACACTTATTGATATAGCCACGGTCACAACAGCACCCTCAAAATGTTTCCTGTCGTCGGTGGTTAGAACCTGCAGTGGAGGCACCACGCTGCTTTCAATCTTGATCTGTTATTGGGCATTGCTCCTACATCTGTTGCCGGGAACCATCGGATCCCGTCTACCACAGGCGCCGCCCTCGAGCATCTCGTCCGCAAGGTTAGAGCCTCCGCCGGCCAGGCTGAAGTGGCAATGAAGGGGATCCTGGTTCCTCGTCGTAGGTTCTTTTACAGCAGCAAAATCCCCGACTCGAGGTTTCAAGATTCTGACTATGTGGACTCGGTCATTCGGTTCTCGACTCCGGACAGTGGCTTTTCGCCGACTTCGGCTCAGAGGGACAATTCTCTCCTAGCGCCATTGCCTTCCATCCCAGGGGCATTCATTGTGAAGCACACTTCAAAGCTTACTTCGAAGCTACTAGATGAAGACTTGAAAGTCTGACTGTCTTTTGATTGGATACTTTCGACTAAGCCATCTCGACGCAAAATCGCCATGCTAGGGGGCGTTTGACATCGCGAAAGGATCATTCGGCCATCAGGGAGCATACAAAGCTACAAAGCTTTCGAAATATCAAGACTATCATAGATCACCCAGGACATTGGCCCTAAGACGAGGCGTATACTTACATACGTGATGATTTCGTTGCCATTGATGTTATCGACGACGCGGGGCTCCCAGAGAGAATTGCTGAGGCGTTAAGAGGCAAAGGATTCGATAGTCTCTTTTGTCAGACGAATTCGTTCTCCCAACTGCAAAAGCCGCAGAAATATTAGGTCTGCCAAATGGACCTATAGCATCATATCTGCAGGCCCACAGCAATTACTCAGTTCCAATATTCAGAATCTACTTGTGGAAAGTACAGCGCAGCGAGACGACCCTTGCATAAAATCAAAGCCACAGGCTTTTCGGTGTCCTCTGATTGTCAAACCATGTCGAGGTGGCGGCTCCCGAGGGGTCAAGAAAGTCAACGACCCTTCTAACCTCCGTCAGGCTGCACAAATCCTGGAAGAGACAGGATTTTCGAAACATTGGGTTTTAATCGAAACCTACGTCGACAGTCCAGAGGTAGATGCCAACTTCGTTCTGTGGGATGAGAGCTCCTCTTCTGCGAGATATCGCATAATCTTTCATGCCAGACAGATGCAACAGATGCTTCAGTTTCCGACAATTTCGCGAAGACGGTGATGATCCTACCTAGTCGACTGGATCCCGTAGAGATACAGGCCATTGGAACGTCCCTATACCAAGCCCCAATTAAGCTGGGATACCGCTCCGGCGTCTTTCACCTCGAAGCCCGGGTGCAGAACTCCTCGATGCGGTATCAGGAGACCAACGGCATCGTCGAACTCACCCACACGGGGCCAACTGCAAGCCGCCAGCCAGATGTGGTTTTGATCGAAGTCAATGCTCGACCACCTAGCCTATAGGCCGTTCTTGTGACTGTCTACGCCTTCGGAGTAGACTACAGTGCCCTCCAGATCCTCCGCGCCCTCGACGATTGCGAGCGCTTCACCGCTATAGCGCACCCTTTCACTTATTATGCCCACTACCACTATGAGATCTGCTTTACTCATGTGTAACGAGGAACTATTCGGGCCCCCGATGACTTTTCCGAGCAGGTGCTTCACCAACTACCGGAAATGGCTCCCCACGTGACTAGGGCTGAACGGACTACGTTGAAGAAGGTCGTGTCACCGGCCCGGGGGGGGGGGGGCACTGGGTTTATTGCTTATTTTCTGATCTCGTCGAGGTCGATGAGGAAGGAGGTGTTGGAGATAGGTGAACGTATTCAGGACAGGTCAAGAAGGGTATTGGATGATGTTTAGTCAAGTAGAGTAAATCGTTCGTTATATGGCGTCAGCCACTAGTCGTAAAGTTAGGCATAACACTGTTTTGATAATTACCTTCAGTCTAACTAAGTAGTCCATCACAGTAGTTTCGAACGAGTAAAACCAGTGTCAACTACCATTAATAAGCTGTCGCTTCCATTCGAAAACCACATAAACCATAAACATACGTCCAACATTCACAAATCAAGAGAATCACCCTAGCTAGTCAAGAATGAAACAGCATTCACAACGTCCTGCGGTGTTCCAACGCGAGCAACGGGACTCGGAGCTATGAACTTTCCAGCTGGACCATTGATCTCCTGGCGCCCAGCGCTTGTAGGGATGACGCCGGGAGAAACGGAATCGACTCTCGCACCAACGCGACCTCATGCTTTAGCTGAAGCCTGAACGCGTAGTAAATTCCCGCGTATCGACAGACCATAGGTTTGTACAGGGCCATGAGGATCGGCCGCATAAATCTTCAGAGCATCATGCTCTAACAACTCATCTCTAGGCGCTGTCGCGAGATGACGCTCTAGCTCTGATGGCAAACCTGAGCCCATCTGACCAGCCATACTGGCGATGCAGACCATGCTCGTTCCGGACTGCGCCACCTCTAAGAAAATCATCAAGAGCGTTGGCAGTGCCGAGAAGATCTACTTCGAGGATCTTTTGCGCACAACCTGTGGATAGGGACAAGCCGGCCGTATGGATAACTGCTTCGATGGGCCCATGCGATGCAGCGGCATGTGCAAAGCGACTGACCGAATCATAATCGGACACATCCACCTGGGATATTTCAACCATGTAACCCTCATTTGTCTATGTTTCCTGAGCCGCAGAGAGAATTTTATCTGAGAAGTCGGCAACAAATAGTCGTCTACCAACACCAAAGGCGTCGGGCGATGGCCAGACCCATACCTCCGCATCTAAATGACGGCAATGCTTTTGGTGGACATGGTTGTGATTCCCTTTGTGCTTCGAGGAGAGGTACTTGCTGATATATAAATTGAATAGAAACGCGATGCTTCGATAACTGGAATTTCATTTGGTTTTTATAGATAAAAAGCCAGATCAACCTAGTTCTGTAAAGGCAAGTGGGCCTTGAATCTCATTTCTTCGCCGTCCTTGTGGTGCCGGAGTCCTTTTCCGAGTACGAGCCCGAACCCGAACCCGAGAACTAATTTTAGTTATCCATAATCCACCTGTTGTAGGAAGAGTTTCAAATATCTTTCTATGACTTTTATTTCAACATCAGAATTGAATGGATTAATAAAAGCTTGACCTTATCGGTAGGTACTATAGTAGTTGCCATTTCTTGATACCATAATTATGATAATCATTAAGACCCAGTGATATATCCTTCTATTTGTGCAGTTGCGAAAGCTAATGCGCATCTGCGGCGTAGTTACAGCAAATTTTGGGAACTATTGAACAGGAATCAACTGCGGGATAGGATAGCTAGCCCCTTTTGAAAGGCCTCCTTTCCGACTGTGTCTCTTCACGATACCACTCATGTTGGACGGTCTATCTCTTGAAGAAAGGTGTTATTACCAAGGATCTGGTAAAATTTGTAACCAACGGAAGTAGAATTCTATCCTCTCATAAATGTCCGAAGTGAGAGTGGTGAGGCCCATGCTCCTGGTGGCGGTCAACAGCCGCGCGTCTGATTACATTAGCAGCTTCAGGAGGCCGCAACGCCCCTAAACTTGAAAAGGGTTAACCCACTCGGCCCCCAACCCTCAACGCGTGCCGCCCTTAACCGGGACAAATATTTTAGAACGAATCATTCATCTATATGCATCCCGTATAAGAAGCCATAAAAACTGCAACAGAAGGGATACCATGGTTCTTCTTGAGGTTGAGCAGAAGTTCAGCTTCAACCCTCTCCTCCGCAATGTTTTCCGACTCAACAAGGGCAGTCCTGCATTCCTGAGTCTAGCAAGTCGGGGCACTCAACGCTTTTCCGATGCTTATTTTGATCGTGGAAACATCTTTTCCAACAATGGAATATGGATTCGAAAACGCGAGGGAGCGTGGGAATTGAAACGCCGAGTTGCAGGGAGTTTCACTCGAACCGCATTCGAGGAAATCAATGACTACAGTCGAATCCAGAAGATTGTAGGCCAGTTTCTCCCGGATACCTTGGAGAAAAAAGGGGATAATCTGGGACTGGACGTCATTTGTCAGTTCACCACGACAAGAGAGTCATTCCTGGCGGATGACAAGTTTTCAGTCATGCTGGATAGTACGGATTTCGGCCATGCCGTGGGGGAAATTGAACTTGCCCATGAAAACGCCCAGGAAGCGCACCGAGACATCGATGTCTTTATGAAGAAATACGCCTGGTTCTTTGACAATAGCCGGCCTAAGGGAAAGCTTACGGCTTACTTTGAAAAGTTCGGTGATCCAGTTTGACGTGCAAACGTAAGTGGTAAAATTCTAAGATACTGGATCCCTTCTCTAAGACAACACGCTGAACTGATTAGGGGTCTAAAGCTGTGTGAAACAAGCAAACAAAGTGAAATCCACGAGACTGTCAGGCAATTATCGCAGCATATGAATCATGGATTCGGAAGATGGTCCGGCGTGGGCGATCTGCCGTCCGGCAGTGGGCCACGGCAATTTCACTATCATGGATGGACGTGCAGAGAAGACAGTCACGCGACCATCACTTCAGAATTCAAAGGGAGACGGCTTCTATAAAAGCCTGCTTTACTGTGTCATATCCTTCGTCCAAATCCCCGGTGCAATCGATCTGGAAATCCTTAGTAGAGCAAATACCATGCAACATCGCTTGTACTGACCTCTATGACCTGCCCTTGTTCTCTCAACGTTTCAATCACAGGCATGGTTTGATCATAGTATCCTTGTATCCTCTTACGGAAAGTAATCTCATTATCGTCGACTCTTCCGGATGTTTTGTGTCTATTGAGAACGCGTTTCAGCAAGACATTTTCAGGGCCTTGAAAGAAAAGTGTCGTGCAACAGTCGCCGAACTATGACTTGGTCAGATATCCCAATCTCGGGTTCTGAGAGGGGTGCGCAGTTACCTGCTCCTGGAAAGCTGCAAGTTGCTCCAGGTTACGAGGAAAACCATCCATCAGAAACACATTCCGGCCATTTCGCACGTGCCCGTCCACTGCATCCTGTATTGCCGCCATTACTATCTCGAGCGGTACGATTCCACCTGCGGTCATGGTGCTTTTAATCAACGATGCAAGCTCGGGGTTCTCTTGGTTTCGAAGGAGATCGCCGACAGAGAGGTGGACAACATCGAAATCGGTCGCGAGTCTCGTGCATTGTGTTCCTTTTCCTACCCCAGGACCACCTTTAAAGAGGTCGTGTATCGTTAGTATCCACTCAACACGAAATTGAAGGCAACCATAAACCAACGTTACCTAGAATGAATACAATTTTGGGCTTCTCGGAAGAATAGGCTATGGCAGGCATGATGATTATTCTTTTTTTCCTTCTCGTGAAAGAATATTATTGAAAATACTTCAAGTAGGTAGGCTCTGACGGGGAAGGAATCCTGACCGCTGCCTAAGTACTCCGCAATGACTCCCTATATATCTAGCGTCGTATTCAGCTCAGTATGGATTCAGCCACGATTTGCCTATATCCGAGCTGAATCTATAGGTCTGTGCGACGTGGTAGATCATATCTTGTTGGCTACAATTGGCCAGTGGTGGCCAGAGAGATGTAGATCGGCGACTGTACCCCACCACAGCTGAAAACCGATCCATGGATCTAGTATTCCCAACGAACGCCTTTAGCTGCCCAATTTGAGCAGCTTCTCGATGGTTATATATATGGTTTTCTCTATTCAAGTCCCCATTTTGCAAAATCAAAACAAAAAACCAGATCGCAATGATTGCTTCTCTCATCATCGCGGGATTACTTGTTCTTTACGCCGGAGTGCGGTGGTGGTTCATACAAAGACGACAAAAAACCCCACTCTCAGTCAATTATCATTTTACACGCCGATGCAATTATGAATGCGGTTTCTGTTTTCACACCGCGAAGACCTCCTACCTTGAGCCACTTGAATCCGCAAAGAAGGGCCTCGCATTGTTGAAGAATGCTGGAATGAGAAAGATAAACTTCGCTGGCGGGGAGCCGCTACTCTACCCGAAGCACCTCGGATCGCTGATTAAATTCTGCAAAGAGGAACTGCAGATCGAGTCGGTCTCAATTGTGACGAACGGGAGTCGACTGACGCAAAGCTTTCTCTCCACATACGGCAAGTACATCGATATCATCGCCGTGTCATGCGACTCGTTCCGGGAGGAAACCAACGTCAAGATCGGGCGAGGTACCGGGGCCCATCTGGAAAACATCACCCGGATATCAGAATTGTGTGTGCAGCATGGGATCAAATTCAAGTTGAATACGGTGGTGAACCGATTCAATTTCGATGAAGATATGAACGCGTCGATCGCGAAGATCAACCCATTTCGGTGGAAGTGTTTCCAGGTGTTAATCGTGGAGGATGAGAATGATTCCAGCGACACGTTGCGGGATGCGAGGAAATTCACGATTACGGATGAGGAATATGAGCGCTTCTGCAAGACCCACGCTCACAATAAATGTTTTATTGCTGAGTCGAATAAGGTCATGAAGAGCTCCTATCTCATCATGGACGAATATATGCGCTTCCTCAATAAGGGTACTGGTGAACCAACTCCGTCAATTTTGGAAGTCGGCGTAAGCGATGCTTTACGCCGCGTTCACTTCGATAAAGATAACTTTTTTCTGCGTGGTGGCGTGTATGATTGGGTAAAAACTCCGGAGTTTTGTGGTACTACAATGAGTGATCCAAAGTTGGACTGGTAATTGTGGAAAGATGAAGAATATGAGTTCCTATAAAAAAAGGTGCAATTCTTGAATTCTTATTAAATTTACAAACAAAGGAAGGCCTTTTATACTGGCCTAGAATTATATAGCCATAGACAAAAAGTATTTGTTCTAACTTAATTAAAAGCCTTTATGTAAGGGAAGGGACTTGGCCCCGGGAGTTCTACAGAACTCCAGCGACAATACCTAAGGCAAGGCAGATATAACTATACATCAACGCGAGGATAAGCCACTTCTCTAATATCACACTATTTCACACATCCCACCCTTATACCTGACTGCAAATATATCTCCCTGTAATAGTTATAGCGCTGGACCGGTATATAGACTATCCAAGATAAAGTCCTCCAAGTATATACAGAAGTTTTCCTAAATCTGCTTTACTATAATCTATTCTATCTGACACTGAACGAGCTGTTGTCCAAGATCAAAATCAGTAATATTGACTTCAAGGGCAAAATGGATTACAATATAGATAGATCTAACCTTATCTGCTTATTATTACTGGACAAAGACTCGCAGCTACTCTATATACAGATATAGAATAGTACTAACACTATTACCTGTATTTTAAAGTCTATCGAGAAGCAATATTCAGACTTATAATAGTAAATAGAGACCAAGGACACAGTCTCCCGTAAAGCTATAATTCTGGCTAGGACCTTTCAGGATAAGATATATATAAACTATATTTCCCTTAACTAGTTACAGGTCTGTATTGAGTAGATAGTAGCTGAATATAGTATCTAAGCCTACAACTGTAATCTAACTATAGTATAAATATCGATCTTTTGTCAGCCACTAGGCCCGTATAACCTTTTGTCCAAGGGTAATAATATGGCTTTTAACCCGTTACTGATAACCGGTATTCAGGACCCAAGTAATCTAAATCTTAGTAAATAAGACAGTTGAAGTATCCAGAATAGTATCTTAGCGAATCTATAAAAGATAATTGGAAGCGAGAAGAACGGGACTGGTACCGAAACTGACAGCTATACAATAGACCGCTGGGCTGCCGCTATCCAGAACAACTTTGCAACTTGTATACAGTAGATACTAACATTGAACTATAAAAATACCAATTATCTACCCTTGATTCAGATCCTGAATAGAACTACAGTAAAGATATATTCTAGAGTAACTATAGAGCTGGCCGGTATAGTTAGTAATTCAGATTTTGATAATATTACCATATTCTGGTAGCAGTACTTCGAAGAAGGTATATACCCGGGCAGTATAACTGTAACTGAATCTGATAACTACCGAGCTGATATAACAATCCCAACTAACACGGAAACTAGCCAAACTAAACTACTAGGTCAAAAGTATTGCAACACCCGGCTTCCCGCCTCCGAGCCGCCGTTTTTAAACCTCAATATCTCAACGAAATTAAAAGCCTCTGAGCTCAGAATAGGTTCTATAGGTTCCTAAGCTCAATATTTAGTATACCATCCACGTGCTTTATATACAGCTCGAAGCCTGCGTGGCCAGGAAAGAACTAGGCGATTTATGACCTCCTGATCAAGGCTATTCCACGCAGTCTGAATAGCCTGCCTAAAACGCTCCATATCTATTTCTGATACCCCATCTAGAAAGAGTTCAGGATAAAGCTCCTTTAGCTTCTTTTTAAGTAGGCGCCAGAGGTTTTCAATGGGGTTTAAATCAGGCGAGTACAGCGGCCAATCTAGAACCCATATACCATGCCTTTCAAACCACGATTGCGCCTGCCTAGATATATGGATTTTAGTGTTATCTTGCTGGAATCTTATTCCCGGCTTGTAGATTGGTAGGAGACCCTTTTCTAGGCAGGCAATATAGGAATTCGTTGAATAGCCTCCATCTCTAGATAGTTCGTCCCTTTCTAGAACTACCAATTCTGACCGGCCACCATACCAAATAGAGGCCCAAATCATAATCGAAATATCCTTTCCATGGCGCTCTAGGTTCACTAGATCAGGCCTATAGGCCT